CAGACGTTCCAGTAAGCTTTCTTGAGATATAGGGAAAGGAGATAGAAAATTCCAGCAAATATACCTCAAGTTGCCTGTAATTTGCATGTATCCTTATCTACATGCCAGTCCATAGGAATGGCCCTGGGGCTATGCCCCATATCTTATATGTAGGGATGGAAAAAAGATGGGAAACGGTTGGTGAATCACATAGCAATTCATTAAGGAATTCCTCTGACTCAGTAGCTCTACTGTTTGTCATCCAAGTTTTTCATCAGTCTGTGTAGTATAAAGTCACTAATATTTTAATTAATATTCACCAAAAAGTGCCTTAGATGCATTATCTTCTTTAGTCCTCATAACCATTCACATCTTACCAATAAATAGTTCATCAGTGGGCTGAAGGGAGACGGGCTTTGAAGAACATGGCATACTTTCAGCATGGAACTCTGTTTTGGGTCTCCTGGTGTAAATGTGAGCGGGGTGACATGCAGCACTGCTTCCTGCTGAGGCTGAGACTAATAGATATCAAATGGTGAATAGAATAAAAAAGTTCAAATCTCTTACTCTGGTCAGTTTAATCCAATTAAATTATGAGATCTAGAAGATACTAGGATGAATGAAATATAGTTCTGCCCTCCAGGAATCTGAAGCCTAGCTGGTAGACAGAGATATAAACAAATAATGAGAGAACTGTAATAAAACGTGATTAAAATGATAATAGAAGCATGCTTAAAATTTAATAGGAAAACAGATGAGAGGAATTTCATCTTTGGGAGGTAGAGTTTCATGAAAACTTATGTACCCGGGTGCCTGAGTGGCTCAGTTGATTAAGTGTCCGATTTCAGCTCAGGTCATGACCTCATGTTCAAGAGTTCGAGCCCCACGTCAGGCTTTGTGCTGACAGCTTAGAGCCTGGAGCCTGCTTCAGATTCTGTGTCTCCCTCTCTCCCTGCCCCTCCCCTGTTTGCACTCTGTCACTCTCTCAAAAATAAACAAACATTAAAAATAAATTTAAAAAATAGAAATAGTCTTAAAAAAAAAGAAAAAAATTATGTACCAAAGGTGGCAGTTAAGCTTGACCTTGAGGGGTGTGTAGGAGTTCAACAGAGAAACTGGTGGAGAAAGGTGAGAGAGCCCAGCCTTCTCATTCCTACCAAAGGCTGAGTCTCCAATTGCGTTAGATCTCAAATTGCTTTTCAATATTGCATTTCCTATGACTTGTCTAGATTTCTCACTCAGCCCTCTTTGGGTGTAAGGAATTAAAGTACCATTGGAGGGTGCCTGGGTGACTCAGTCAGTTGAAAGTCTGACTTCAGCTCAGGTTTTGTGGGTTTGAGCCCTGCATCAAGCACTACGTTGACAACTCAGAGCCTGGAGGCTGCTTCAGAATGTGTGTGTGTGTGTGTGTGTGTGTGTGTGTGTGTGTGTGTCTGCCCCTCCCCCACTTGTGTGCATGCTCTCTCTCTCTTCAAAAATAAATAAATAAACATCTATTTTTTTAAAAAAGTACCATTGGAAGAGAAGGTTTGGGAGAAAGGAGAGCTGGCTGGTCTGGAGTAAAATCCAACCATTGATCTTGCTTTCAGCAAGACAATGTACCAACCTGAGGAAGCCATCTAGAGACCCCAAGTCTGAGATCTGACAGAAATGTATAGTCTGAGATGTGTACCGCAATGCACAGGGCCTGCCGTTCACCTGATTTTACAGATAGTCTTGGAGACAACTATCTACCAGAGACTTCTGTGGCCACGTGGAGTTTGGATCATGAAAGTATTAGGGAAATATTAAGAAATGAGAATTTATAGAAGGGATTTATCAACTCAATACTATAAGTCATAAGTATACTGTATTATATCAGACCCAGAAGAGGAAAGAGGATTTAGAAGATTGTCCAAGATGTCATGAAGATTGATAGAGTTTACTTGACTGAGAAAAGCAGACGAGTTAAATCCGGTTTTAGATTTTTAAATATGTGAGAGCCCTGCGACTCTTATCTTTGCCCCCAGACAGATGTGAATTCTTTCTTGCCAAGACCCAAAGACCTTATTCACCACTGTCTTATGTCATCTTGACTTAAACCCTAGACCTACCATTGTTTCTTGTTCTCCCAGCGTGGTCGATGGACATACCCTCAAGTCATGCCGGTGAGACTAGTGGACTGGGCAAGGCAATGGGAAGTGAAAAGAAAATTGGGAATTTGGGAATTATTTAGAACCCAAGATCAAGTGCCTGGATCAGCTTGGCTTTAAAAAGTAGTGGGTTATAACAACAACAACAAAAGATATAACACTGAGACATAAATGTACAGATTTTATAAGGGAAAAAAACAACTTTAAAACACTCTTAAGAAGCCCCTGGGTGGCTCAACCAGTTAAGTGTCCCACTTTGGCTCAGGTCATGATCTCGTGGTTATTGAGGTCGAGCCTTGCATTGGGCTCTGTGCTGACAGCTTGGAGCCTGGAACCTGCTTCAGATTCTGTGTCTCCCTCTCTCTCTGCCCCTCCCCTGCTCTCTCTCTCTCTCTCTCTCTCTGTCTCTCTCCCTCTCTCTCAAAATAAATAAACATTAACAAATTTAAATAAAAATACTCTTAAAGCCATAAAAGTAAACTTGAATATATAGAAAGAAATTCCTGTTCTTAGATAGGATGATTCAGTATCATAGTGTCAGAGAGATACCAAGTATTCCTAAGTTAATGTGATCTCCACAAAAATACCAGTAAAACCTTTTCCTGGAACTATGCAAGTTGATAGTAAAGTTCATACAGAAAAAAACAAAACTTGCAAGAATAGTTGGAAAAACACTGGGGGAAAAGAGCTACTTACCAGATATTATAATGTACTTTATTATAAAGCCTCTGAAATTAAGACACCATGATATTGGCACATGAGTAGATAGACCATTGGAATAGAATAGGAAGTTAAGGAATAGACCCAAATATATGTGGAAACATAATACATGATCAAGGTAGTATCTCCATTGACTAGGGCAAATATAGATTTTTTAATAAATATTATGAGGACCATGGGATAGTTGTATTTAAGAATAAACTCCAGCTGAATCAAGAATGAAACCCCTCAGTGTTAGAAAATCTGGCTAACTTTCTCTTATAACATAGGTATGGGGAGATCTTTTCTAAATGCAACTCAAAACGCAGATGCAACAAAAGACTGATAATTCAGGCTACCTAGAAATAAAATATACTTGCATGGCCAAAAAAAAAAATCATGACAAAGTCATAAGATAACTTAAACATTTGAAACATCTATCACAGTTAAAAGGCCAATCCTGCTAATATATGAAAAGTAACCAGATGTGGGAGGTGAGAATGCTTCTCCAGCTTTTTCCTGGCTTATCGGTCAGTCTTCACCCTGAGTTTGCTATAGAAGCCTCAGTAATTTGCCTGCTGTTGGGTTGATCTGATTTAACATTACATGGTCACTTTGTTGTTATTTTTTACTAACTTGTACTTTCACTCCCTGGGACCTGCTTGATTTATAAGTGTTTTCTCAGATCACATTCTGTGCTAGGCTCTGCACCTGGTGTTTTTCCTAGGCCAGTAATGATGACTGGTTTGCTGGGCTCTCATTTCGCTGAGGTTCCTAGTGAAATCCGCCCTGTGTGGGTGGTAGGAGGCTCAGGGAAGGGTGTTGGATTGAGAGAATCCTTTAGCAGAGATTAATACACTCCAAATACACTTAGCTTACAGTCTTGGGGATTTCCAGGTGTTATTAGACACAGAGGGCCCTTTCTTGTGTCCCAATAGGAATGGATAAGTTTTCAAAGGAGGGGGGTAAAATAAATAAGTTTTAGGTTATAGATATCTAAGTCAAATCTTCATTTCCATTGTTGTTACTTGAGTAATCATAGTTGAATGAACACAGACTAAATTTCATTGTCATTGAAGTAATTAAAGTGTCATGGATGGACGGCAGGAAGATAATGGTGTTCTGGAATGAGAATGTTCTGGAAAATTAAAGGAATGGTGCCCAAACTGTCCCACCCCCACCCCCTCATGATGCTGAGGAGCTGCTTTAGCCAGAGATTCATGCTCACATCAGGACAGAAGAACACATTTCCTGCAAGTGTAGCCTCGTAGGTCTTTGGTCTGGGTTCTGAGCTAGATGGACCCATGACTGACCTGCTAGTATGACCACAATAGCACTTTGCATTAGTAGAGAGCTTTCTGTTTTTGAAAGCATTTCTACATTATTGATTTCATTGGATCTTCATATGGCTCTGTGAAACAGGCATGAGGAGATATTACTGTCTCCATTTGGCAGGTGTAATAACTGAGGCTGAGAAAGGCTAAAAGATGTGAAGAGACAGCCCAGTGGATGACTGGAGTAAGAATCTGGGCAGCTGACATAGACTCCAACTTGGCCATTGTTCCTGAGCAACTCAGTTGTTTGTGTGTTTTTAATTTTTATCGTTTATTTTACTTTTGTGAGAGACAGAGACAGAGCATGAGCAGGGGGAGGGGCAGAGAGAGAGGGAGACACAGAATCAGAATTAGGCTCCAGACTCTGAGCTGTCAGCACAAGGCCCGACGCGGGGCTCGAACTCACAAACTGTGAGATCATGACCTGAGCTGAAGTCGGACGCTCAACCAACTGAACCACCCAGGCTCCCCTGAGCAATTCAGTTTATATGAAGTTTTCCAAGCCTCAACTCCAGCTTCAATTAAATGAGAGGTTTGCACAATGTGGTCCTTGAGGGCCCTTCCAGGGTTACTGTTACAGGATTTCACTTGCCAGACTTCACCAGGAACTGGGTAGTGGATGGGAAGCAGCATACAACCCCTCTGAGCTGCAAAGTTCTCCCCCTTCCTCTCCCCCACACCGTGCACAACCAAGAACTCACTTGGGATGGGGGTAAGCTTTTTCCTTCTGCAGACTATGGATGGAAGGCATACATTCCCCTGCCTGATGACAGGAAAATTTTGAAGTGTATTTTATTTTCTTATGACTTTTTCAATTCTTCCTATGCATTTTTTATTAATGTTGTCCAGCTTTATTGTGCTTGCTTCGGCAGCATGTATGCTAAAATTGGAACAATAAAGAGAAGGAAGGTCAGCATGGCCCCCACACAAAGATGGTGCACAAATATTTTCCAGCTTTATAGAAGTAGAACTTGCATACCATAAAATCTATCCATTGTAAGTGTATAATTCAATGTCTTTTAGTAAGTTTATGAAGTTGTGCAACCATTACCACAATCACCTCCATGAACACTTTCTCCCATTGGAAGCAGTTCTCCTCAGAATCCCCATCCATCTCACGCTGCCTTTCTAGGGCGAGGGCTCCATCCTGTCTTCCAGCTTCTGGAAACATCTCCCTCGTACTAGAGGAAGAGCTCCTTGGGACAGGGAAAGTGGCGTTTGCATTTACTGGCCTTCTAACCTCCAGCTCGGTGTCTGACGTAGTCAGAATTATTTAGTTAATTAAAACCGACAACTCCAACTCCAAAATGTTTATGAAGTTTCAGAGCTCTGTGAAGACGTAAAATACAGGTTGGTGAAGTGTGAGGAGAAGAAGAATGGCTACAAATGCAAAATAACAAAGTGCATCAGAAAGTCACTGCTAGTGACCGTTGGCTGAGTTACTCGCCTGCACCAAACCTCAGCTGTTGTATCCCCGAGGAAATGGGTTGATCTAATGAAGGTCTGTTTTATGGTGAACATTTTAGGCCCCTCTAGTTCTTGGTGAGGTCTGCAAGATCCTTGTCTTTGACATGCCTCTCTGGTTATGTGGCCGGCTGAAGAAGCTTAAGGTCTAAATTATACTGCAACTCAATTAAAAGTGAACTTAAAATGAATTTTTTGTTTCTGTTTTCCATGTAGAACTTTTCCAGCTATATGGAATTTAGTTAGAAGTGCTAGTGATCACCTTCTGGTGGCCCAAACCCTTAGGAAGGAAAGAAGTGTGGGAAGCCATTTCACAATTTTATTTTTTTATTTTTTAAACTTTTAAAAAAATGTTTATTTACTTTGAGAGATAGACAGACCATGAGCAGGGGAGGGGCAGAGAGAAAGGGAGACACAGAATCCGAAGTAGGCACCAGGTTCTGAGCTGTAAGCACAGAGCAGGACGTGGGGCTTGAACCCACCAATGATGAGATCATGACCTGAGCCGAAGTCTGACGCTCAATCGACTAAGCCACTCAGGTGCCCTGACAATGAACAATCTTAAAGAAATGTGTACACACACACACACACACAAACTAGCTTGGAACTTTAGAGCATCATGTTCAAATCAGACCCCATGAGGAGAATAGTTTGTGTGGGAATTACATCATAAAATAGAATAAAACACAAAAATTCCCCAAATGATAAGAAAAGAAGAGCTTGTGTGGTAAACAGCCCCAGAAGGGCCAAGTACTTCTGTGCAAGTGGCCCCTGACTTTCTTGGCCGGAGTTTTCACTTCTCCCTTGGGTTTTTTAAAAACATTTCCTTCACTCTCCCTACCCCATGGTCTCCAAGGATTTGTACATCATTATTTCTTTAGGTGGAAGCACCAACAAAAATTCTTTTCCTTCTTTTTCACTCAGCAAACTTTTGAGAAAAATGAAAGACTAAGAGAAAGTAAGAGAGGAAGGGAGGTGGAGTATAGGGTCAATATACCCCAGGCTAGCCGGCCCTCTGGCAAGCGCATAGACGCATGATCCTTTTCTCGTCTTTGGCTGATCTATAACCACGAGTCTACACCATCTTCCTGCTTAAGGATGAATCTACCCAATTACCCTGAGCCATCAGTGACAACAGAAGACCAGTTATGTGGCACTATGTAGCCTTCAGAAAGTTCCCAAATCCTCAGTAACCTCCCACCAATTTTTTTCTTTTGTTTCTATTTATAGCTCTTGATTCATCTGCTGAGCATCAGTAATTAATGCACTTAAAACCCAACCCTTTCAGTTTCTTTCTCAGCTCTGCATCTCGTTTGGATGTTCTTGCCTGCAAATGGTGGGAAAGAGCAGATTTCCAGCCTTCATCATTATGGCAAGACATGGTTTCCTTTCTCCCCTGCCCTATCTCTGATGGGAAGGGTCTGGTGAAGCGTGTGGGACTTTGTAAGTAAAATAATGTATTGAGGTTAATGTATTGTGCTCCTTTTATCATATGCTTCTACATCAGAGATTGTGACAGGAATATAAAGATGGACAGTGTACGGTCTTCGCCTTTGAAAAACTCGATTGAAAAAAAATACATAAGCTCAGCAAGAGGAAAGTCATTGTCTTTTGTAGTTGCTCAGGGACTTCACATCAAGAATATTTAAATTAATTTTATTTTTTTACCTTCGGCTAAAAGCAGGTCCCCATCTTGCTAAAGTTGGCACAATGCCTCCAGGGTTTTGCCTGCATAGGTTAGGGGTCATTTAGTTAGAGTAGTTAGCAAAAGGGGCTAGCTTTGAGGTCTCTATATTGGCCACTTGATTTAATTTGAGTTCTGAGTTAATTCCCTTCATTAAGAAAATATTTCCAGGATTGCTTCACTCTGTCCTTCTAAGTGTTCCTTGGGGTGACTTCCTCTGGGAAGCCTTAGAAATAGCCCACCCAACCCACTTGGCCAGTGTACCTTCCTTAGAGGTTTCCCTGAGCAGAATTTAGAATCAATGCAGCAAGGAGCTTCTCTGAGCAGTTTGGGGCACCCAGCCTCTCTGGAGAGGATAGCCATGCATGCATGTATTCATTCATTCATTCATTCATTCATTCATTCACTAAAGGGATGTTTATTAAGTGCCTATTATGCACCAGGTGTTATCCCTAGGGCACTGAATTCAATTGGCAAGTCCCAGCCCTTCCCCTCGAGCTCACTGTCAGAGCCAGAAGACCAAAGGAAGACCAAAGACAAACAATAAAGTTAAGGAACTGAGGATAAATGAGACAATTATAAATTGTGATGTGAGCCAAGAAGGAAACAAACAGGACACAGAGAAAACCTGGGGTGGGGCGCCTGGGTGGCTTAGTCGGTTAAGCGTCCGACTTTCGCTTAGGTCATGATCTCGCGGTTCGTGGGTTCGAGCCCCGCGTGGGGCTCTGTGCTGACTGCCAGCTCAGAGCCTGGAGCCTGTTTCAGTCTGTGACTCCCTCTCTCTCTGACCCTCCCCTGCTCACACTGCCTCTCTCTCTCTCTCAGAAATAAATAAAATATTTAAAAAAAAAATAAAATAAAATGAAGCAAATGTTTAAAATTATTTTAATTTAATTAAAATGAACTTATAATCAATTATTTATTTTATTATTTTAATGAGTCNCCCTCTCTCTCTGACCCTCCCCTGCTCGCGCTGTCTCTCTCTCTCTCTCCTAGAAATAAATAAAAATATTAAAAAAAAAAAGAAAAAGAAAACCTGGGGTCGGGGGATTGGACCATTTGTGGCTGTCAGGAAGGCTTCTCAAAGGAGGTAAAATTTGAACTAAAGCCTCCAAGCTGGGAAACAGTGTTGAGGTTTCCTAACGAGAGGAAAAGCACGCTCAGAATGGGAAAAGGTTGTCAGATCCCAGGAAGTAGAAGAAAGCCCGTGAGGTGGGGCTTCCATCAATGCTTCCCTTACCTTGTGCCTTGGAGGCTTAAAGATTAGACAATGGGTAGTGCAATTGCCTGAGGGTCAGGAGTTGGGACAAACTTCTTTTTTTCTACCTACCGGTAATTTTCTCTTTGCTTTTTGTTTTAGACACACTTACTAAAAACCATAGGATCTGCACACACAGGGACATTAACGATGAAAAGAAAATTAGAGGTGAGGAGAGAAGGAGGGAAAGGATAATCGGAAGTGGAAAGGCATATGGTTCTCTTAGAGAAATCACAAAGCATAGCCCTTTGAAGGTAGACTCAGAGTTACAAATCTTATTTTATTATTTGATTTTCTTAAAACTCAGTTTGGAAAGTAGGCAATTAAAATATTCAAATTAAAAAACCAAAGCAAATCACAGTTATGAGCTCTGAATCTACTTGGATTCACAACCCCCCCCCCCCCGGCCCCCTTTTAAAATGTAGAATTACATTTCTTGTCAACGTCCATTGAAACCAGAGCAACAAAATTGTTTTCCATGGAAGGAAGGCAGGGAGGAGTCTTATCACAAAATGTCCCTTCAGCCAGAGTTCTGAGAAGATCGTGTATTGGACAGTCTGATTATTCATATAGGCATAAGTTCAAAGAAGAATTTTCAAATGAATTACAAGAGTGGAAGAAAAGAGAAGCCATCAGGTAAAGGGTATCTCTTACTCTGAGCAGGGCAAGCTGTCAGTCATATGACTTGTCAAATCTGTGAGCAGACAGCACAGGTCTTACTGAAGATTGTAATGAGGAGCTCAGATAGCCAGGGGCAGAGGGAAGGCCTGGGTAGGGCAGGGGAGGAGTTTACCCAGGTCAGGGGGAAAGGGGCTTCCTAATCCTCTCCGGCTACTCACCAACCGGATGCACATAGAGGAGGGAAATCTAAAGCTGTCCCTTTCTCTGACCAACCTCCGCAGTGGTTGGAGGCATTAGAGACTTGGGCTTAGGAAGGACCAGCGTGGCCAGATGAGAATCAGGCCTTCCCCAGCTTCTGTCTCTATGTGTCTTTTCACCAGCAATAAATTAGAATTTGACTCACCACCGGAGTCCAGTCACCTCATACATTCCAAGACCACCGTGACCTAATTTCCAGATGCCCTTAAATCAAGCCAAATTCTCAAAAAGCTGCCAACTTAGATTATGCTATCTTCTACTAATTTAATTATACGATTCTAATTAAATTTCTTACCACTGTAGAGCATGTGGTCTGGGGATCAGATTTAATTTGATTTATTAAAATAATGAATCTGCTTTTGAGTGAAATTTATATCTGTTTCATTATAAATTAATATTACAAATTATATCAGCTTCATCTCTTTGTCTGTAGATGGTTCACTCTGAAGTCTGACCAGGAGAGGGCTTTTCCCTTCATTGTTTCCTCATAAACAAGGCTATGTAGCTTCCTGCTCCAGGTTTCTCAAGGGAAACCCAAATGGCAGCCAAAGTAAGAGGTACAGCAGCAGCAGCAAGGCCAGGGATGGGGGAGGAGAGCCAAACACACCTCAGGGACTGTGGGGAGGGGGGCAGTGGGGGGAGAGTACGGAAACCAGAGAGGGAGGATAAAGTTAG